CAAATGGGGCTCCCATTTACTGAAATACCATGAATTTCGATCCCCCATTCCAAACGTGAGTACCCCAGGCCATTTCCGTTACAATATTGTAGACTTAAGGCTTCTTCTAAGGAATAGACGCAAATCTTAAACCCCCCTGTGTAGCAATTAACACAATTTCATATACCTCTCATCGCAACTAACTATTTGTAATTTTAAATACTTTAATTATATTTATTTTCTGTAACGGGCTACAACGTTCCAGTTTATCCTTGGTAATTGGTTTTAAAATGGGGTTCCAAAAGGAACATGTTACTTTTTAAATTTTTCATTAAAAATGCAGAATGATATATAATGATTGCCTTTATTAAAAACATAATTCTTAACATTGGTAAACTTAAAATATAATATTCTAAAATCGAAAACAAGACCTGGGTCAGAAATAACTACTTAAAGAACAAAAAAACTGATAATAAACTAAAGTGACTGAATAAAATATACGGTTTATATGCGAAAATGTTTAAAAATCTCATTTTCATTTAAAAATGCATTAACATTTAAGAATACATTTTTTTGCAGATGCTTTTTATTGATTCTAGTTCTTTGCGCGTTTATGATAGCGCCCGTTTTAGAAAATAATTTCTCGCATTTTATTTCACAATAAAATTAACTAATAACACAAATAACAACAAACAGAAATGCGTGTTTGGCAAACCTGGACGAAGGACGACGTGGTTAGCAGTGGATGAAAGTGGATGACTAATGAAGCTTTATGTGAGCGTTCAATGGTAATCGCATATGTTGGGAATCTGTTTGATGGTCACCGGTGAAAACCGGTGGTTCTGTGGGATCGCCGCCTTACTATTCAAATAACTTTCATTTTATCTGACAGAATTTATAATTTAAAATGGCCAGCTTGCTTAAATGCAGGTGCATATTCTTCTTAAAACGTTTGTTATTTTACATTTTAACTGATGGAATTTATGTATTAGACTCTGAGTTTGTTCATAGCTCATATGCAAGTGTACACCTTACTTTGCTGGTAATGAGCATACAGCTCCTCTCATTTTATAAGATTTCTCATAACTGTTTCTGTTTTATCAGACGGTTCTAAAAACAACGGTTTAAATCGGCAAACGGCTGCAGCTGGATAGAACGCTCGACGGTGTACGAAGTGCACACTGCTGTTTCGGTTTTATGAGACGGTTCCAAAAAAACCGCTTAAATCGGCTAGTTGAAACTACAGTTTCAGGTTACACGTTTGGAACACTGTTATTTTAACGGTTACGTTAAATACCGACCATCCCTAGTAGGTATTTACAATTTGTAAGTTTGATCTAAGGGATTTGGAAGTTTACAAAAACGCGCATGTATCTCAGCCTACTTACTGTAAAAGTACTCAGTCGTCATTAATTGCAAGTAAATTCAATAAATATAGTTAGCAACAGTATCTCTATTCTGTTTTTTTATGCAAGAAAGGATCTTTAAAATACTTGTGTTTCCGACTTTTTGTTGAGCAGCACAGATATGTGGAACACAGTGAAACTGTTTGCAACTGTTGATACTGAACGAAGTTCTCATAAGCAACGATTAAACTATTGCGGAGTTTGATCGAAACAAGCACTAATGCGTCAGGGAAAACCATTTATAGGTTTTGCGCATTTTCTTCCTGATCTCGACCTTTTCGAAGAACAGCATTTGGTATGAAATAATAGTTGCGTGGTTTCAACTCTACCGTTCTATCAACTTTGCACGATTTGCCCGTTCAAACTGTGCAGATTAGATTATTGTAGATTTAAACATTAATTCATGTAAATAATTAAAACCGACGTGGTGAATAAAGTTGAACAGTTATGTGCTATGTACTGTCCAGTTCTATGGTTAAACGCGTTAAATTGTTGTCTTATGATCGAAAAGCCGTTGAAATTCAGCGCAATTGATCTGCGTAAATGGAATTAGACTAGAAAGTATGGAGCAATTATTTTAGGTACTAGAAGTCTTCAAAGAAAATAATGAACTAATAGTAACAAATATCTTTGGTCTCGCTATTGATGCATCTCAAATTTTCCGAAATATTATAAAACATTATTTATTGCAGTTATTAAATCAAAATTCAGAACTTGGTTTGTATCCATTGGGTCCACTGTGGGAAAAGACGATAAAATATGGACTATAGCGCTCAACGAGGAATCAGATAACACACCGATTGTGATGCTGCATGGGTTTGCCGCTGGAATAGGGTTTTGGTGCAAGAATTTTGATGAAATTGCTAGGGACAGATCAGTATATGCTATTGACTTGTTAGGTAAGCGATTTATATTAAAAAGTGAACTGCAGGTTTTATATTTTTTTCGAGTAAGGTTTTTAGCAGTTTATTGGAATAACACAGCTACACAACCAAATTTTTTTTTCATCTGGGGTTGAGGCACATCTTTCTGGGCCTTCATAAGGGCCTGTACAAACTTTTTCTTCTTCCCCCTTCTTTTTTCTAAAGTTAAATAATTTAGCCGCCAGTGGACGTTGTTTGAACCAGTGGTACATTTACGTCTATCTATCATGTTATAGAAAAAATGGCGCGCTACTTTTTTCCTCAAAATAAACACAATTTTTGGTTTTTCTGTTCATCGTCTCTATATAGTTCTTTTTGAACGACGCAACAAATTAATAGGTTGAATTTGCGTAGAGGCTCCATATAGTCGGAGCTAATTAATACCATACATAAAATAACATTTTTTATTCTTTTTTTTTATTTTCATATAAACATGTATCAGTAAATGCTTTCCAAAAACGCTTCAGAATCTAACAGTTTCTAAAACTGATATAGATAAATGTATAATTCGCGTGTGGTGCAAAGATTTAACCATTTTTACGCAACAGCATTTATTAAGCCTTGCCAAAAATTGAGGTGCACATCCCAAACGAAACGGTTTCGGAGTTGCAGGACAGGAACTTTTAGTTACAAATTAAATTTCCCATGCAGTTTTTTCATATGGTGTTTCTTTTGATGTTGTAGGATTTGGAAGATCGTCTCGGCCAGTGTTCAGTAAGAATCATGAAACTTGTGAACAACAGTGGGTGTCTACAATAGAGGAATGGAGAAAGAAAGTTAATTTAGAAAAGTTCATTTTATTGGGTCATAGTTTTGGTGGCTACTTGGCTACAAGTTATGCCATCAGTTATCCAGAAAGGTGGGCATTAGCTTTAATTTTTGCTGTTGTTATGGTGCGTCCAGGCCCAACGAGACGCGATCGCAACGCAACAGCTCAACAGCTTCGAGAACTGGCTGAATTTTGTGCAAAAGTATGTCGAACGAAGCAGCATGTTCTGTATTATTATGCAGTGTGGCTTTGATAATCGCTGAAAATATAAAAAAACTGAAATAGATCACGGAGGTGTTAGCGAAATAAAAAAAAACATCAGAACAGAGACTGCTGAGAAATCTAAGTTTTCAGAGCGTCATTGGGAACTACAAAAACTGTACTGGACTGAGAACCACTGATTTTGAAAACATTCTTCAGAAAATTGGACCGGTAATATCAAAAAGAACTTTGAGGTTTTTAGCAACCAAATCCTTTTGGTTTTAAAGACTAAGACGGGATTCATAGTTTTATTAAAGCCAGCAGACTCTCGTCCCACTGCATGGTTGGATGGCACATTAATACAGGTACGGCGTATCAAACTTGAGATTTGGCTACATGTTTTAGATTTAAGCCTCTCGGCCATCAATTAGTGGGGGGATGGGGAGCACCACTAAGCTCTAAGTATTCCCAACCTGTTCTGTCTGCTGGCTTTTACACGCGTTGCGTTAGTTCTAGATACAACGTACCACGTCTATTCATGATATTTTGGTATATCGCGAGCGCGTCGCGATTGTGTCGCTTTAGGTCTGGACGCGACATTACCTTACCATTCTTATACGGATGTTTCAAAATTGGCATGATTCCTATGGAGTAGTAGTCTGGCGGTATATCTGGAATACAGACAAAATAAGACTCAAAGTAATCTCAGAAAGCTGAGCTATTGGCAAAAAACTAAATCATAAAGTTGGAAACAGTATATTTGATTACATCTACCAATTCCTTTTCGTTCATTATTATTATTATTATCATTCACATTATGAAAATACTTATTGCTTAACGGGACTAGTTTACTGATGGAACTATCATTAGTTACTTTCATCAGTTAAGAAGAGCTTAATGCTTCAATATTTAGTTTTCCAGTTGTGTTACCAAAGCAATGATAAAAAATCTGTATTTTATTGTGTATTTTTGTGTATAAGACTATTCTTAAATGGTCTTAAAATTGTTATCTATATTCTTGGTGTTTGTGCTTGTTTCTATCAAGACAAAAAAATGACAGCAATTTTGAATTACCTTGTATAGTAACACTCCAGGAAAGCACACAACAATAAAAAAAATAATTATGCCGGTATCCAAATATATGATGGACTAGACTTACAAAATATGCCCCAGAGTTTAGAGTCGCTATTTATAACACATCACCTTTTCTTAGTACAATTTCCCAGCATAAGAATTTTAAAAATCAATCCGAGATAATGAATGCTAAATGTAGATGAAAAGTTTTGTATAACTGATATATCTTTAATTTCTTTTAGAGTAAGACACTTGATCTTGGCGGATCCTTGGGGATTTGGTGAAAGACCAGAAAATTACAAGTCACCGTCTGTACCTTTATATTATAAACTTTTGTTCTATCTTTTTTATCCACTTGTCTATTTCAATCCACTGGCGTCTGTTAGAGCTGCGGGTCCATTAGGTAAGATTATTCCACGTTTCAGTTGCTGAGCTCAGCAGTGATAGAGTTTAAGTGTGTTGATGTGTAATGGCAATGCTTAGTGCAAAAACCGGGCAGCTCCATTTTTGAAGATTTTACAGTATGAAGATTTTATATATTTTTTTTAAATGATGAAGAAATTACAAGTTGTAGTATTTTTATTGTGGGAAACGCAACTAGAAAATACTATTTTCATAAAAAAACGTATTTTTTGTTAAACAGGATTTTTTCAAAATGGAGCTGTTTGTTTTTTGACAAAAAATATAATAAGAAAACTCATTTTACGACTAAAAACCAATCTATATATATAAAATTCTCGTGTCACAGTTTTAGTTACCATACT